AACATATGCTTGGAAATGAATGACGATACCGATATAGATCCTGTGCGCGATGGAAATGGCCATAACCAGCCCCTCCCTGGCCATATTGTAAATCAAGATGGAACGAGGCTAAGGGATATCATTAAAAACACACTTTATTAAATTCTCCAAAAGAGCTTTCATTGCAGTTGTAATATGTCATTTCTAATCAATAATAATATTTTTTAAACGATCAATAAACATTTGAATGATATAAAATATTCACGTCTTGTCTAGAAAAATCATTTGTAATAAATCGAGCAACGCATGATATATATTTATCACTGTATAATATCGGCGTGTATATATAGTGAACAGTAACGTCAATGTAATAGCTTTTATGATAATGAAGTTCAGTATATATTCAAAACAAGCTAGCCAGTTAGTTGCCTTTGAAMATTTTGGCWATTTCTTTTACAGTGTCAAACATGAGTTTTTGACTCTTCAGCTCCCTCTCACTTTCTTTATCTACTAATGTTTGGAAAAATTCATGGTCCTTTTCTTGGCTGTGGTTTAAAAAGTCAAATAATTCTGAATAATCAGAATGTACGGGTTCCTTCTTAGCTTTCTTTGCTGGTGTTTTGCCTGCTGCCTGCTTTCCCTTTCCTGCCAACCTCTTACCCTGAGTAGAAGGGGTACTAGGCGTTTTCCCCTGTAGTGGACTACGATGTGCGTCGCCATCAAAAACATCATCATCATCACTGCCATTACTCTCTTTATCGTCAGGTGAGTTAACAAAAGAGGTGGATGGAGACTGATCGTCGAGCCCGYAGTCTAACACACACTTGGGAGTGATATTAGGCTTACACCCCAACACTGCATCTAGGTCGTCATAGTACTCAAACGTTTCCCTGTCGTTACCTGAACGACCATTGTGGTCCTTCACCCGTTTATAATCGTCTTCCAAATGCTTCATGCGTGTCTTACATTGCGTTCCCGTGCGGAAGCTGTTCAGTCCTTGATCAAGTAAGGCCTTGTTGAGTTGTGYTGCAATGGAGTCCCAGACTCCGCTGTTCCGTCGTTTGCTTATCGGGTAGTTTTCACRCCATATTTCGAGCAAAAATCTCGTCTCTGCATCGCTCCAATTTTTGCCTCGACCTTTAGATMCTGATGTCTCTCCTTTTCCTTCGAACGCAGAGTTGTCTTGATGAGKTGAAGCATTAAAATTYATCGGAGCATGCGGTATATTTCGGCCATCACTACTTTTAGAGCGTCTCTTGGAGTGCTGAGTCATGAAGGAAAGCATTCAAATCCATCATCGACTGATTTTTGTAGTGCGACCGGCGTTTTAAATTTTTTGAAACCTCTCAAAAATCCTTGAAAACTTCAAAGACACCGTATTGCTTGGGTGGGGCAGGCTAATTTTTCTTAATCCGAGCAAAACAATAGGAACTCTTCCGGTCCTGTCAATAACTGGAAACGTAAGCTGAAGTGTAGATCAGCCTTGCAACATGGACGGTCGTGGACAGTACTCTCCCTTCGTTTACAACGGGTATCTGTTTCCTCCTCAACAACAACATACATGCAGCGCATCAACAATATTTTCAAGGAAATGTCGTCGCTCAAACTGCTCAAAGCAATCCCAGTTCATCTGTTTCAGTTTCAGTTTCAGTTTATTCAAATTCAATTACATATTACAATTACATATATACCTAGCTTATACCTGCAAATAGCATATAGCTAGTCTAGGCAGGTAAATTATATATTACATTAAAAACATTATTTAAATATTAAATATATTGATTTGACATATTACACTTTTTTGACTTATTTATATCTATTTGTTGAGTAGAAAGAAAAAATATATATATATATGTATGTATGTTATTTGTATCTGTGGTACTTTCAGCTGATATAATATAATTGTTAGGTGGATGGAGTTTTGAAGGTTGCTTGCAGGGGCAGTAGCTTTCATGTCCTTCCTTTATTTGTTTTAATTATTTGTTCGTATTAGATTTAGTAATTTCCTACTTTGGTGTTGTTTATCTGGCTTGGGTTTGTTTGATGTAATTTCTGGTTTGGCTAGCTGAGTGTTTTGTATTAGCTACTGCTTTCCTTGGTTTTGTAGGTTAGATTTAGGTCCTAGCCCACGTGCAAGCTCTAAAGTGCGCGTGTTTTTTGGCTGCGCGCGCTGTAGAGCGCGCGCGTTTTGTTGTTTTCCGTTAGTCGCATTTTGTAGCAATGGCGCGTGCAAAACACTCAGTTTGCTGAAGAAGGCCGAAGTGCCGAAACGTTCATTAAAAAGTAGAAAACCTAGTTACAAGTTGCGTGGCTTTTTCTTCATTTATTCTATTTATA